AGTCTCCCTCACTTGCTCTTATACAAACAAGCAGTTTGTATCGATGTAAATCCCCACTTCACTTTAACTATTGCTTCTAGAGAAGCTGAAGAGGCAAACATATAACAATGAATTCTTTTAACGGACTTGAAATGGAATTTACGATCATAAGTCATGTGATTAAATTTCTCAACAAGCTTCCTTGGCAAGTTGTATTGTATACGATAACATATTTCTCCATCATAGTTGATGAAATCATCAACTTTATACTTACAACTATTCCATGATATTTTCTAAGTATGTTTTCCAAAGTACAATCCCTTAATAAAAATATTAAAAGTAGGACGTTATAATAAACAAATAAATGAAAGTACCTCCCAACCAAGTCAATTACCTCCATCAAATAATCCTTTTTACACCATGCTATATACCACAACTACCATGGTTGCATAATCAATAACCTATAATAGCAACATAAACACATATTACTAATATCGGTAAACACATGTATGTATGTTGCTATTATGGGTTACAACGTGTTATTATCGGTAAAAAAAATATAAGTATGTTGCTATTATGTGTAATGAAATTTTAGTACATTGTTAATATGTGCAATAACACATTCATTGGGCATTGGTGGAACTCTTCATATATAAGAACTATCTGTAGTGTATTTTTTAGGAACATGGACCATTCGTAAAATTTTGTAATTTTTGTATTACAAATGAGCTAATATATTAAAACAGGAATAATAGTGATTAGAGAAAGAAAATATAGTTTAAGAAGAAAAGTAATTACAAAATATAATTATTTTGTTCTTTTTGAATTTTAAAATTTTAAAATCAATGATTATATTTCTGGATTTTTTTTTGAAATAATTACTTTGAAATCATGTCAAATGATATGAACACATTTACTTACTAGGCCACATTTCCTTTTAATTAGTCAAAGAGCAGCTAGTTACTTTTTTATTAGGAACCCGCCTTTCATTCTGCATGCATGTTTCCTTAATTCTAGTTAGCACTATGTGATATCATCTTTAAATTGCATGTTGCATGTTGAAGTAAAAAAGCTTTAATCCCAACTGTTTCTTTTGTGTGTGTTTTTATTTGGAGACTTGCCATTTCAAATTGGTCACTATCATTTGGTGCTTTCATCTTCATCTAAATGCCTCCAAAGGGGAAATCCGACTCCACCTTTGGCCACCCCACTTCCATCCTCCATGATCAAATGAAAATGCTTATTCTCATCTCCACCGACACCATGACCAAGCTCGATCAACTAGTCAACATTCTGGTCACCAAAGAAACCCCATCGCCACCGCCACCATCATCGCCATTGCCACCATTGCCACCGAACAATAACCCCCGTCCACCAAAAGTTTAACTACCAACATTTGATGGCTCCAATCCCCTCGATTCGATTTTTTTTAAGATGAAAACTACTTCACATATGACTATGTTCCACCACCACAACGCTTCTCCCTAGTCGTCTTCTATTTTACCAATGACGCTTTAAGTTGATAGAAACACTTACCAAACGACAATTTCCTCTATACATGGCCTAAATTTATCTGTGCTCTTGACCTACGCTTCGGTCCTTCCACGTTCGAGAATCACCAAGCAACATTGTTCAAACTTCGTCAAACAATAACCTTGTCGCCATACTAAACTGAGTTCAAAAATGTTAGTAATTGTGTTATCGTTCTCTCCCCCCTATCCTTACGTAATTGCTTCATATCTGGGTTACGATCCAAAATGCAATCCGAACTCGCTCTCCATAACCCATAAACCCTCCACAACACCCACGGTCTAGCAAAACTAACCGAAGACAAACTCAATGCTCAAGTTCCGTCTTTTAGTAGTACATCCAAACCCCACCAACGAACCTACCCTTGTTGGCTGCCCTTCCTCACTCGACTCCAACACTTTCGATCTAGAAGTTCAGCCCAGTCGAAATGAAAAAATAATGGGCGGAAGGTCTTTGCTACAATTGCCCCGTAAAATACCAACCAGGTCACCAGTGGAACCCACCAAAATTTCTCCTTCTTCAATCAGAAACCGACCCACCATGGAATTCCAAAGAACGTCACAATCTTGGCCATGAGGACAAGGCTGTTTTTTAGGGGCAGAGTATTGATAAGAATACATTTACTTACTAGGCCACAATTCTTTTTAATTAGTCAAAGCGTAGCTAGTTATATTTTATTATGAACCCACCTTCCATTATGCGTGCATGTTTCCTGAATTCTAGTTAGCACTATGTGATTTCATCTTTAATATGTATGTTACCCGTTGAAGTCAAGAGCAGAAAATTGTCCCAAATGTTCTTCTTTATGTGTTTTTATTAGGAGACTTTCCATCTCTTATTAGCCTATATTATCAAACTGCAACGACTTTGGATTTACTAATCGAAACAAATCACTCAAACTTCATAGCACTGTGAATTATTATTCTGTAAGGGCATAAAGTTTAAAATATATCTATGTTGTTGTAATGTACAAAAAATAAAAGATTATTATCAGTTATTTGGTGTTTGATGTGAAATAAATTAAATCATGCACAATAAAATAGAAAAAAAAACACAACAGAGAAAGATATTTAATACCTATATAAGCAAATATGTGTGATGAGAAAACAGAAGATCCTAGTAATGTTTGTCTGCTTGAACAAATAACAGTCATAGCATGTTCATCAATTTGTAACAGACCTCTTGTAGATTTATTTTTTTTAATATAATTGCATAGAAACAAAATATCACAACAATTATGAACCAATCTAATTGAATATATAATACTCCCTCCATCCCAAAATTATTGTCCAGACAAAAAACACACAGATTAAGGAAGTATTAATTATCACTAACTTTATATAATAAAATGTCAGTTTTGTCCTTAGTTTGCGTTTAATGTTCCATTAAATGCTTTGTTGGTTAAGTAATAATGAGGTGGTATTTTGGTAAAAATGTTATTTATTTTTAGAAGTGAACTATTATTTTGGGACAAACCAAAAAGGAAAGATGGACTATAATTTTGGGACGGAGGGAGTATTATTAGCAATTAAAAAATAAAACTAAAATAGCACATAAAAATAACAGACCTCTTTTGCGATATTCAGGAACTTTGAGGATTCATCAGGATCGTAACCAGATGATCCCAATGCTACCATTCCTAGAGGAAAGCATGCCAGCACATCCATCTGAAATGTTTTCAAGAAACTATAGTCTAACTGATTGTCAAAAGTCCAGCAATGAAATCTTATTGACTCTAGTTAAAATTTACCTTATCAATTAAAGAGCTTCCTATCTTCTTAGATATATATGCAAAATATGATAGTTCAGTTCTTTGAACCAAGGTTAATAAACCTTTCATTAATGTCTCTGAAATTTATATGTTTCAATAATTCATTAGTTTGTTTTATATATACTACAGTTGTAATATCACTAGAATTACAATAACACACTTTAAGTAAATACTCATAGAAACTACACAAAATTATATTTTTAAAAAACTTAATATATTGGAGAACATAAGAAAACAATTAACTTCATGGAACATTATCAATTACTTGTCCGCCATTGCCCCAAAACTAATGGTGGAGTATGATGTTGTTCCTTTGTGTGGGTTTATATAGAAGGGAAGCAATCCATCAGCAGGGAAAGTCTTATTGAGCTCTAGAAAAGCATTCTCTACCTAAATCATTACCATATGAAATAATATGTTGTCAAAGTTTCCAATAATATTCGTGTGTGTGTGAACAAAACTCCATAATGTTATTTCCATGGTACAAACTCCATCACAAAATTAAGAATTTCTACATGCGAAAAAAACCTAATGAAAGAAAATTAGGGAAAAACAGATTTTTCAGAATAATATGAGCACCCAATTACATAAAGTTATACAAAATTATAATAACTTACGAGCTGGTTTGTGAAGGAGGCAAGGCTACGTGTTCCTTACACGCTGCTTGAATCGGATCTGGTTAGGGCTTCATTAGTTCACACACGGCGACAGGGAGAAGTCACAAAACCCTTAATCTCCTTGTAAGCCCGATGCAAGTATAGTGTAATGAGCCCTAAATTGTTGTCTCTGTGAGCGTGAGGAGCCATAAAACCACAAATGGTTAGCTTTTGAACAAAGGGTGCCCTAAGAGTAAGAGTGTGAGTTGCGACTTTGTGAGAACAAAATCAATATTTTGTTTGGCGATTCTTTCCTCAAACACTTGTGTGACGAGAGAAGGTTATGAGGTTGAAGGCATTGGAGGTGGGTGATGGGCGGTGATGAAGGCATGGGTGGAACGGGAGATATGAGAGAACGGAACACAGAGGAGGGGAGAGAAGAGAGTCCATCATCCATGAAAGATGGAATGAAACGAAGGTAGGGGTGTTTTCTGATTTTTGGGGATTTCCTTTTTCCCGCTAGGTAGGAGGACGTGGGTTAACTAAAAAAAATATACAACAACGACAACTTTTAGGACACGTAAAAATGAGTGTCGTAAAGCGTTCAAATTTTATAAGTGTTGACTGTGTTTTACGACACCCAGTTTACGTGTCATAAATCCTGTGCGTTCATAGCTTGTATGTCATTGAAGACAGTTATTCTAGTAGTGATAAGAAATAACTCGCTATCCACTTCCATCTCCTTTTTGGGAATATTTTATGAAATTGATGTATGGAAAATAATCTTTCAAAGTGATCATTTGCATTATTTAGAATGATAAAAGATAAATCGACTCTGTGGGAAAAGCTTGAAACAGTTTAATGTTAACACAGCATTTATAATTGACTTTAAACAACATAATTGTGGATAATGCTCACAAAAATGTGAGATCTATCATCATTATTAATGTTAGAAACATTTATCGCACAGAACACCATGTAATTTATATGTTATGCATTAACTATTTATCCACTTCAATAATTCGCCCGATATCATAATCCTCACACCTCAATTGCCTGCTCCAACAGCCATGACGTTGCAATACGGTCATTATCTTCATCCTTGATTTAGGGCAATAACTACTTTAATTAGACCGAACCAGCAAAAGTAATGTTTCCATGTAAGAATTCACAGAGAACAAATTGCTTCTTCCACAAATTTCAAGATCATTCATCTTCACTTCCGAATTGGGTTCATATACAGCAAGGTCACTCAATTCAGAAAGATCATCTTTCACTTCAATTATAGGTTGGCCAGTCTTCCTAAATCCCAATATTGTCATTGACCCATGTGGGGCACTAACGCTGAATAGTTTTGTAAATGATCTTTGAACACCATTCTCCATCATCCAAACAACACAAACATGTTTACCTGTGTTTGTACTATATTGAAGCATGGCAAGAGACTCCCTTAGCTTACAAACGGATAACTCTGTTTGAGAGTGTTGAGCTAAACTATCTTGGAGGTCTACCACTCTAAATTTCTCATCAGTCATATCAAATGACATGATTAGATTATGAGTATGTATAGTCGACTTGTGGAAAGCACGCTAATAGATAAACCTGTCAATAACTACCTGCGACCATATAACTCGAATTGATCTATTTGGCAGATTGCTAGATACATTTCTCCATTTGCCTGAGCTCAACGTATAGATTTTTACTTTCCATGGTTTGCTAGTTTCACTTTCTTTATCAACCCAAAAACGAAGTTCTGTAATCTCTACAATTTTGGGGTCATTAGTAACTGGACAAACCCCAAAACCAACCCTTGTTTCTTCGCCTGAGCACAACATATATGGCATGTCAACAACAATCGATTTCCTAATTGTAGGGTTCCAAAGAACAATCGACGACCAATTAAGGTTGCTATCAGAATTCCCTGGGCCCCAATGATAACCATACAAGCACAACAATCCTTGATCGCTACCGACTATTTATGAATGTCTAAGTGACTTAACCGACAATGGAACAGTGGGAACAAACCTCTGTTGAAGATAACACTCGTCGTCTATAAAAGCAACATATTTATCTTCAGTTTCTACCAAATCTTCGTATTTTACAAGCAGATGTTGTGGATGAGTGTGGAGGGCACTGTGAGCTGCAATAAACTCAGAGCTGTCAATCAAAGATTTCCATGCTTTTGAGACAGATCTGAACTGAATCAATAATTTGACAGGAAGTCTTTTTATGATGTCCTCTTGTATATGGAAAGGTATTTGGTCTGACATTTTGATGTTTAGGGTGCTAGGATATTAAGGGTCTTTATAACGTTAAAACGTAGTGTGAGTGTTGTATGAAAGTTGTGTGAAAGGGAAGATTTGAGGAGGAGATTTTTGACCTGTGGAAATGGGATATGCTTTTTACATATGATTACTTGTGTGAATTGTGAATAACTTAATGTTAATATTTAGTGCGTGACACGTTAAAAGTTAGTGTTTTGACTTTGGATTATAACTTTAAAAAAATTATTACAAAAGGGAATACCTTATATAATTTATTAAAAGTAGCTAGGTCACAATATATTATATGTTTTTAAAGTTATACTATTAAAAAGGTTTTCCATATACATCCTTCATTTTAGAAAAATGGACATATTTGTTTCAATTTAAATTATCACGAACCATAAATTAAGATTATTAGATAAGGCATGTTTTTTAGCATGTTTTTGGAAGGTTTAACTTCTAGTTTTTTTTTTTTTTTTTTTAAAAAATCCAGTTCAATGATAAATGGTGTACAAAAAAGACGAATTGTAAACAAAAGTAAGAGTTTGTTACCCTCCTAAGCCATTATCCCGGACGAAAAAGTTATATGACGACCAATAGGGTTGGATATTCACAATATCTGAGATCGTGGGTTTTAGCACCCAAAATATCGACTAGTAACAAATTCTTCTTATTCCACTGGATCACATCGCATAATAATTCGAACTCATGAATGACTTCATTGACCGGCATGGTTTTTTGAACAAATTGTGATACTAAAAAAACTTACAATTGATGGTTTTAAGGAAGAAAGTTGTTCTTCATCAATTTCTTCATTTTTTTTTCTTCATATGTTCCCATAAAAGAGAGGTGTGTTTCCTTAATCCGATGGCGACCAACTTCATCTTCAAGTGTTCTAGTGTGTATCGCAAATCAAACAATCATTTAACGATGCTTAATCATTCAATGAATTCAATAGGGTAAACATGTCCTGTAAACTTAGGAATCTAAACATTCAAACCATTGTTCTTCAACAGATCATTAATGCATCCTCCTTCACATCAATCTCGTCTAGGTAAAAAAAAAATTGACCTCCTTGTAACCGTTGCCCCAAGTTCCGATATAGTCTCTTCTCCCGATGAGTATTTGATGAAAGAAAACAAGTTCTTGGATCTATCATTGTAAGCATTCAATCTCTATATTACATGGATCACACATATCGACTCCATCATTACTTAGACCATGTCCACCACGAGCCAATCAACGCCCTTGAATAATTTGTTCAACTATTCGTACATTTTCTCTGAGATAGTAGATACCAAATGTATTTAGCAAGTAGAGGTGAGTCTTCTCACCATACCCATGGGTCTAAGGCACCAAGGCCGACCCATTATGTGATTATGATATATGTGCTACTCATTCTGTGTTTTGGTATGTCATGTGAATGTGTGTTTTGCATGGAAGACCTCGGGGGGAGCCCGTGGCATTGGATGTAAGACCATGTGGGGTAGCCCATGGCTGTCCTAGGTAAAGACCATGTGGGGTAGCCCATGACATTAGATGTAAGACCATGTGGGGTAGCCCATGGCAGTCCTAGGTAAAGACCATGTGGGGTAGCCCATGACATTCTTACAAGTTTTATGTATGCATGGCTGATGTGATATGTGTGTAGCTTTAATTAGCTAACAGGATATGTGTATGTGTATTTTGTGTGGTATGCTCTGAGGAACTCACTAAGCATTTCGCTTACAGGTTGATGATTTGTTTCAGGTACATCTGAGCCCAAGGGCAAGGGCAAGGCATGATGGCACGGCGTGCACTCTATCTCTCTTTCACTGATATGTTTTGGGGGACACTCTGATGATATAAATAAGTTGTAATGAATGCTGATTTGAAAACAATTATGTTGGGATTTCATGGTTTATGCAAATGTGTTTTATTAATTAAAAATGAAAATTTTCTTTGAAAATTTGGGTTGTTACACACACACACTCTCTCTCTCTCTCTATATATATATATATATATATATATATATATATATATATATCTTAGTCGACAACAACTCATGTAAAAGATTAGTTTCTAACGTGCTTCCACCTGAGTTGTTAGCAAACTACAAAAATATAGTTACCGATTCCAATAATCATACAGTAATTGCATCTTAATTCAAAAATTACATAAATATCCTCAATCTTCATTGCATTATCTATTTATTTTTGGACCATTAACGATCAAGGTTATAAGAGTATGTGTGCCTCATATTTGGTGGGGGTTCCAATAACAACTTTTGCACGTATAAATTTGGAACCATCCACGATCAAGGTTGTAAGAAAATGTTAAACGTAGCCTATTTTTTTTCTTAGAGCATGTGTGTTAGTCCACCATTTTAATTAAGCAAATTTTTAGTAAGAACTGATATTTTCGCAGCTGTATTACGAAAATGTCATTTCTTATTGAGAAATAGCATTTTCACAAGAACACATGAGAATGACACACTATGTTACAACTAAAAATCAATACATTTAAAATGAACTTAAGAACATCATATGAAATCGGAAATCAATACCTTAAAATATGAATGATGAATACTGATCTCTGTTTTGGGATTAATACCGACAGGATTTTGAGTTTGCATTAAAAAAATGAAGTCAAAATATGAAAAATCGGATTTTTATGTCTAAAATTTAGGGGTGAGCATAATAACCAATAAACCGAACCAAAACCAAATTAACCGATATAACCAAACCATTATAACCGAACCATTATAAAAACCGTTGGTTCAGTTTCTAATTTTTATTAACCGATAACTAACGGTTCGGTTATGGTTTTATAGGTTAACTGAACCATTATTAACCAAACCGCCAACTTTATATTTTAATATATAAAAATAATAGATTATATATAAAATAATATAGTCAAACTTATTTATGATCCATTAAAATATTGAAAATATAATCCATTAATCCTCACTTATCAGGAGACGAATGAGCAATCAAACCATCAAAGGCTGATCACGCAGACACACACAATCTTCCAATCATGCATTGAGTTACATTATTGATTAATGTTGTAATTCCTAATCGGCTAATTCTACAGTTTGTAAACATTATTCACAAGTAGTTTAATCTTTACACTCATAATCGTACTCGAAGGCTTCTCACACCGTTAATCCTAATCAAAGATTGTTTTGACTTTATAGTCCTATTCGAATGATTTTTTGACTTTATAATTAAGACTTCTAGGTAAGTTAAGTTTTTGGTTCTTCTTGACTCTGTGATATATTAAGAATGTATTTTTTTTGGCTTTTTTTAATTCCTGTTTTTGACTTAATCACATTGAATGTATATGAGCGATTGTCTTTTTTTTTATCCAATAACACATAATATAAATGTTTGACTATTTTATTTTATAGTTTTTGATTTAATCGTATTGAACGTGTACGAATGTTTGGCTTTATTTTAATATTAATATCAATTATCAATATATGAGATTATTAATGTCAATTTTTTTAATGTTTTATATTATTATTATATATATATATATATATATATATATATATATATATATAATATATATATATATATATATATATATATATTAAAGTTGTGGAAGAAAGGAATAGTAAAGTTGACATACTTTGTCCAGCTTTGGCCCATTGATTTACATATCTGGTCCATGTACTTCTTTAATTAATTTATTTATGTCATTTTGTTTGTGTTCCATTCAACTTCCCATTTTTTTGGCAGAATTGGTCCCTGTATTATTGTTGGAAGTTAGGAATACTAAATTTGGATGTTTTTTTGACAACTTTGCTCATTATTCTTTACCCATTTTGACATTTTTGGTCCTTGCAATCAATATTTTTACATTTTTTTGGAACCTTTTAATATTTAAAGTTTGGCCACAAAACTTTAACGGTTTGACAACTTTGATCCCTTTTCTAAAAAGTTGCTAATTCCTACCCCTTTAATTCTTTAGCCATTTTCACACTTTTGGTCCTTGCAGTCAAAACTTTTACATTTTTTGTCCCGGGCAAAGCCCGGACTTTTCATCCTTGCACTTTCTATGTCTGTCATATTTATCAATTCGGAAACAACATTGAAAGCTTCTGGCCCCCGCGTAACGGGGGTAACCTTTCTAGTTTTTATTGAATGTTTTTTATTTTGAATGTGACTGTGTTATGGTTAATGGTTTTTATCGGTTAAGGGTTTTGGTTAACGGTTATTATTGGTTAACCATAATGTTGAAAATAATATAAATGACAAAAGTATATTGGCATAAAAAATAGTAAAGTTGACATAGTCACATTAAAAAATAGTAATAGAATAAAATGTGTACTTTTAATATTTAGAGTGAGATAACTATAAATGACAAAAGTATATTGGCATAAAAAATAGTAAAGTTGACATAGTCACATTAAAAAATAGTAATAGAATAAAATGTGTACTTTTAATATTTAGAGTGAGATAACACAGTCACATTCAAAATAAAAAACATTCAATAAAAACTAGAAAGGTTACCCCCGTTACGCGGGGGCCAGAAGCTTTCAATGTTGTTTCCGAATTGATAAATATGACAGACATAGAAAGTGCAAGGATGAAAAGTCCGGGCTTTGCCCGGGACAAAAAATGTAAAAGTTTTGACTGCAAGGACCAAAAGTGTGAAAATGGCTAAAGAATTAAAGGGGTAGGAATTAGCAACTTTTTAGAAAAGGGATCAAAGTTGTCAAACCGTTAAAGTTTTGTGGCCAAACTTTAAATATTAAAAGGTTCCAAAAAAATGTAAAAATATTGATTGCAAGGACCAAAAATGTCAAAATGGGTAAAGAATAATGAGCAAAGTTGTCAAAAAAACATCCAAATTTAGTATTCCTAACTTCCAACAATAATACAGGGACCAATTCTGCCAAAAAAATGGGAAGTTGAATGGAACACAAACAAAATGACATAAATAAATTAATTAAAGAAGTACAGGGACCAGATATGTAAATCAATGGGCCAAAGCTGGACAAAGTATGTCAACTTTAC